ATGTTTCTAAATTTGTCACCAGATCTTATAGAGATTTAATGTATTTGTTAAGATATTAAATTTATTGCGTCATGCGATTGTAAGATTTGCTTTATAAAGCGAAGAAAGATGAAAGATATAGGGTGACAGTCAAGATCTGGCGATAAATAGTTGATGTAAGCAAATCGAACGACCGTCGTTGTAGAAGACACATGTAATGCAGCAGAAATGTATTCTAAACAAAGAGTTAATTTAACGCATCAACAAGAAAATTTATCAGCTGGTATAGGATAAAAAATGTAAGCAATAATAAAAACAATGCATAACAGCTGCTTCCATAATAAAGTGTCTTTTTTGTTTCCGTTTTAATTTAATACTAACATCAAGTGAGCTTAGCTGTGTGGCTTAAATAAGACACACAGATGTAAAAAAAAAAAAAAAAATAAACGGAACGGAAAAAGGAACTTTGGAAGAGTGGGAGAGAAATATATATATAAAAAAAAAAAAAAAAACGAATTGATTAGGATATCAGAGGAATAATAGAAGAGATATAAGGAAATAGGCTACGAAGACAACGAATGAAGGTGTAGCGATCAGGGACGAGAACAATGCGAGATTTAGTATTTGCGGCAGTGAACTTTCGAGTACTTAACACCAATTAAAAATAATAATAATCTGTCAGATTTAATGTAAATGTAATATGATGTTATGTAAAATTAATATGATTAAAAAAAAATTAATAATAAAAAAGTTAATAATAAAAAAATTAATAATATTGATAAACAATAAAATTTATTTTATATAGTCTTAAAATAATCTATATTTAAATATATAATTTCAAGAAGTTTTATTATAATACATTAATTAAATTTTGGTAAAACAACAGATGGATCAACTAATACACATTTTTAATATCTCCTGTTTAAAATGATTTATGTAACTAGAGATAATAATATAAAATCTGTATCATTACTATTGCATAAGAAAAAATAAATGTTTATCTTGTAATATATTGTTTTTTAAATTGTCAAATAAATACTTAAACAGCATGTTTACCATTTTTAAAGCAATGAGTTTTATTATAATACTGCAATATTTTAATTATTAATATATATATTATTAAGTTATTTACTTCATGATTAGCACTGGCGAATGAAATCGAAGAAAAGTGTTTTTTTTTAAAGGGTTTTAGTTAAATTGTCATTTAAAGACAACATAAAAAGAATTTAATTCAAATCTTACTAGTTATAGACGATTTACTACCGTATTATAAGCTAATATGCTCTCTATAGATACGCACACAGTCGAAGGTCGTAAGATAAAACTCTAAAGTGATATTTAAAAACGTGACATCCAAAGATATCAAAAAACTCAAGAAAGAACATTGTTTCGAATGATAAGTAAATGTGAACGTATAAGTTTGCAGAAATGTTTGTAAACTATTTGAAATGAAAACATTTTTTCTGGAAAAAAGAAATCTTGTAATTTTTATAAACGCATACAACGAATAGTTTTTTTTAAAAAAAGGTTCATTAAGGTCAATTTAGGAATAAATAAAAAAACATGTGTGCAGATCACACGTGTTAGAAGTGAAACCTTCAAAAATCTAAGTTTCGAGAGAATGAGACAAATGCACAGTTTCAAGAGTATATAAGATAATTGTAGGATTTATTTATTATAATATTATTACCACGTATAATAAAGATCACCGGTATGATCTCTGGATGAATAGCTAATAAAAAGTACATTTTCCCAATTAAAGCAATAAAAATTGAATGCTGAATGCGATAGTTATAAATAGACACCAAAATGGTAGGATGTTTATCAAAGGAAATATAATTCGTCCGAAACTAAGTAAATACGAATTATCTTTTTTTTGAAATTCAGGTATAAAATTTTTTTTGTTAGTATGGTTTTCAATTTCCCGTTTTCATCTACATTCTTGCGCTATATAATAAACATTTTAGGATAGATGAAATAAAAACGTTACGAAAAACATATGGAAAATACTGCTAGACTGAACGAAGGTTCTGGTAAAATGCAATGAAAGATCTAATAAAGATATTCTCTAGAAATGATTTATCAACTCTGTAGCACACTTCGAGACCCTTATTATTTATAAAATATCTCGTCCTTATTCTTTGGACCACAAACTTATCTTTCTAAATACTCTTGTCTAAATAAAGATCTGAACAACGAAAAATCTAAAAAATGCATTGAATCGTATCGCTCTCTCAGCTTATCGAACTGTGTACACTACGAGTCTCAAATTTCAGCTCCGTGGTAAGCTCCACCGATTCACGCTGGGCGTTCAACATCTTAAAAATCTTTTTATTTTATTGAAAAATTAGTATAAGTTTCTAAAATACGCAAATATTACAATTAATAATATAATTTTCTTATATGCGACTTAAAATGTGACAGTAATTTTCTTGCTTCTGAATGAAATTTGCCAGCTGCTCCTAATGTATTCTACAGTGTTCTCTAATTCTTTTTCTCTCATGTATCTTGCAATTCTTATTTTTTTTTAAATATTTCAGACAATTCAATTATTATATATTCTATGCATTTCATATTTATTTATTATAATATTTGCGAAATAAAGTATTTAATACTAATTTTTCAATAAAATAGAAAAGATTTTAAACAGAAGAAACTGGACAGGCGCGTAACACAAAAAATAGTCCTTTTTTGCTATTATATTTCCAATAAAAATACAATAATATAACTTATTTTAAAAATATATTTAAAAAAGTTTTTTTCAATTTTAAAAATTATAAAATAAAACAACTGAAATGAAAAATAGATTTAAAAATATTCCAAATTCAAAACCCGATGAAACGAAAAAATTACGACCAAAATTGTTCTGTTCTTTTTCAAGCACCTAAAGGTATTAGTTGCAACACCAATAAATACTTATGTGTTTTAATTTATTATAAAGATATCTTTAATTTACAGAAAGACTATCATTTAACTGAGTTATATAAAAGTATATGTAATATTTACTTAGATTAGGTCGGCTTATCTTTTCGTCAACAAACATTCTACAATTCCTATTTCTATCTATAACTATCGCATTCAGCATTCCATTTTTATTGTTTGATTTTGGGAAAGTGTAGTTGTTATCATCTATTCTACTCAGAGATCATACCAGTGCCCTTTGCTATATATGGTAATAATATTATATAAAATAAATCCTACAATTTTCTTACTCTTGCTACTGTGCATTCGTATTATTCTCTGAAAAATTAGTTTTTGGAAGGTTTTACTTCTAACAAGTGTGATCTGCACACATGATTTTTTTTAATCGTTTTGGTAAGATCACAAATATCTTTTTGGTTTTTTTCTTATTTTTTACACTATTTCTTGATCTTTATTGTTTATGGATTTTTTGTTCCATCATTCTATTTTTCGCTTTTTTATTTTATTCTCCATTTTTTACATTTTCCTATATAGCTCGTCGTATCGTCATGGATGTTTTTCATCCATTTTGATGATTATTTGCTAGTTATGGAAGCAGGTTTATTTTTACTGAGGGTAGGTTGCTAGCCTTGCCCTAAAAGTTTCTCCTTTGTCTGGACTTGTAACAAGTTTGGTATTACCTAGGTATCTGTGTGCATTTACAAGGCAGAATATATAAACAGTCTAAACATTTTTAAAATAGAAAGATAATTGAGTTAAAAGAATATTAGCTACTAAAAAAACAATATTCTTTTCATATAACCTATATTAGCAGGTTAAACGCTGTAGTATATAGAAACAAAGTAAACGATATTTTCAACGTATTGCTTCAGCGACGATCAATATAAACTAAGAACAAACGAAATGTAGCCTAATAAAAGAAGCATAGATGCGTCAGATTTGCGCACTAATAATAATTAATACGCAATCCTCTATTTGCATGGCAAGGGCCGCATATCGTCTTGTACGCTATCACACCTATTACCAATAAATAGTTCAAGGTTCAAGAACTATATGCAAAACTTATCTGTTAAAAGAAATAACTATATTTTGGTCATTATATATAAATAAAAACATATTCTTTCAAAATTAAATTCGTATTTTCTATTTTATTTATATATAATAAATAAATAAAAATGATTTAATACTTCTTGACATAATTATCTATATTTGAATGAAAGAACACTGATAGTAAAATTTTTTGACGTTTCAGAAAATATGCACACATGCAATATATACTAATTTTTCTATTTTAACAGCTAGTTAAAATGTAAGTATACTGCATAATTTGAAAAGAAAACCGTGAATTAATACACTTATATTCTTGACTTATAATCAAACTCTAGTCAAATAACTGTTATATACTAATTAAAATAAATGTTGCAATAAAAACTTAACCCATTATATTAGCTTTCTAATAAACATTAAAATTATTAAAATCATTGTATGAATGTCGCGAAATTCAGTATTTTAATTTTCAGAAGAAAGCATTATTTTAATTTTTTTTTTACTTAATTTTGCTTTGTATTTTAGATATCAATTCCAGCAATTTTACAAATTATGAATGTACTTAGTTTTATTTTTTTAGTTGTGAGAAATCAGATGAATTATTCTAATTTTATTTTTTATAAATTAGTTATATTTGTTGAAAATGATTATTTTGTAAATTTTATCTTTCTGTTTAAGATTTATTTATATGAAACAAAAAAAATAGAAACTTTGATCAATGTTTTTTCTTAAAAATAATTTTTATCAAATATATTTGTTTTTGCACAGATCAACTTTAACGACCTTTTATTTTCGCACATTTATTCGTTGTATGCGCTTAGAAAAACTACAAAATTTCTCTTTCCCAAGAAATGTTTTCATTTCAAATAGATTACTAACATTTCTTAAAACTTATAAGTTCGCATATATCTATCAAACAAAACAACGTGCTTTCTTGATCTTTTTGATATCTCACAATGTAAAGTTTTTAATATCACTTTAGAGTCTTATGTTACGACCTTTGACTGTTTGCGTATCTATAGGGAGTATATAAGCTTAGAATACGTTAGTAAATCATCATTAACTAGTAAAACATTAATCAAAGTATATGCATATTGTTCTATACCAAAACGTATTGTTAGAAGACTGTTAGATATCATGAAGAGTATCCTGTTCTGTGCTTTTTTTCTAATATTTGCTTATGCAGTAAATATATATATTCAAAATTAATCAATAATGTTTTTAAATAAATCTACTTTAAAAAAACTTGTTTCAGCAAGCAGCTATTCCAGATGATAGAGTTTCAGCAATGGCAATGGATATAGGTTTATCAGGAAAGGATTTCCAATTATGTTTAAATAAAGGACGCGTAGATTTAGGTAAGAGAAATGTTGTTTATTAATAATTGTTTGTTTTTTTTATATGAAATCAAAAGACTTTTTAATATTTGAATTAAATTAGAAACCTTTCTGGAACTAAATGAAGCAGCTTTCGATGAAGATACGATTAACTATCCGCCAGAAATGGTAAAAAAAGTAGGAACTGTCACAGCGTGCATATTTAAAATACATGGCGTGGTAAATATTGTAATATAATTACTTAGATATAAATTTATATTATTTTCTATTACACGGATATATTGTAATTACAGTTCCGTGATTCCAAATTTCTTCCAAATGAATTATTTCGATTAATGAATCGACTAAAACGCACAAATGAACCCATTCCTCTTCCAATAGCTACTACGATTCGAAAATGCTCTGAAACAGGTAATTAATTAATTAATATAATTTTTCTATTTTTCTATTCACACACTTTATGGCATGTAAAATGTAAAACTCGTTGTCTAATCATTTATTTGACAATTTTATAGACAATATGTAACTTGATAAAATTTTATTTCTTTTAGGCAACAGTACCGATGAAGAAGCTGTTGTTGCATTTAATTTCATGATTTGTTTTAAACGAGAGATGATAAAGATGCGTGGCCATTAATCTGTATAATATTGTCACTGAATTAAAATAGTGTAATAAAGTAATTTTTACTTAAATATAAATAATGTTCTCTTAATTGTTTTAATAACGTGTGTAAAATACATTGTTATACGATGATGGAAAAAACGTTGTGCATTGGTCAGCGGTTATTTGTGATGTGGTCGATCAAATACAGATACTTCCGTCCGTTTCCTACTTCTTCCTATTGTCTGTCAGAAAATTCGACCGATACAAAGAACCGCCCTTATTGTTTCTTATATTGGCCAGTTTAATCTGCTAACCGCTTGTGTATACGTGTGTGTGTGTGTGTTGTTGTCGACAAAGAGAATATGTATTTTTCTCAGCATTCTTCTTTAACGATGCACACACCGATGACTTAATCATTTATCAATCCCCAAATTTCCGCAAAACCCTTAATTTAATCTTTCCTAATTGCTTAGTAAACATATTAGCTATCATTTTTACTGTGGGGCAATACTTGTAATCAATCAGTTCCTTTTCTTTGATATACTTGACGAAATGATACTTCGTATCAATATGTTTTGTCCGATGATTAAATCTTTTATGATCAAAAGTTTGAAACAGCTTTGATTGTCCTTGTAGATCCAAGTTTTGTTTTGTTGTTTTCCGTCAAAATCCTTAATTAAGCGAGGGATCCACATTTTTTCTTGAGTGTCTTCTTTAAGAGGAATGCACTCGGCCTCCTTCGATGATGTTGACAAACATGATTGCTTTTAGCAAGCAAACTGACCGGTGATCTGAAATATTGAAATAATTATCTGTTAAAGAATTTTTATCAATACGATTTTTTGCCCAGTCCGCATTCGCATAGTCGATAAGTGTTGCTGTGACGTCCCCGTTTCCTAAACGTAGCTCGGCGCCTTTTGTTTCGTTCAGGTAGCGAGAGATCCTTTTCACTTCATTTCAATCTTCCATACTAGGCGTCTTGTTGTATTGACTTAAAACAGTTACGCTTGCAGCTATGTCCAGTCGTGTGTTATCGGCAAGGTACAAGGTGTGATCAAAAAGTAATATAAATTTTTATTCTTATCAA